GCATCAGCATCACAGCCACGCCAGCCTCCGTCACCGGATACCAACGAGGAAGAAGGAGCTAAAAAACACAACAGCAGCTCTTCCTTCTCCTCCTGATTGCACTCCTCACATCAGACTGACTCCTCTACACCTTCAAGACTAGGACTTATGCTCCCCCAAGCAGGAGGAGAACACCTCCATCGTCATGGGCAACCAGGAGGCAAAACAGAAGAGAGCAGCGGCGGCTGCAGGGAACGGCAGCTACCCATCTCTGGATGAAGGATGGAGGGAGGGAGGGGGGGAAGTGACGAAAAAGGGAGGAAAGAAACACCACAGTAAGCACGGGGGAGGAGCGGGGGGGCATGGCTCAGTACCAACGAAGAAGAAAAACAAATCAGAGTCCAAGTCGTCCGTTTTCTCCATCAGGAAGAAGAAGAGCAACCTGAGAGGACGAGGAGACGCATCGTCATCGGTCACCGGGTCGAGAGAGGACGTGTTACAGTCCAACCATGAGGATGGGAGTAAGACTCCCCCCCTGTCCAACGACGAGCTCGACCCTGAGCCCCCCCTTCCCGACAGGAGACCAGGCAGAGGAGGCGAGGAGGCAGGCAAGGAGGAAGGCAAGGAGGCAGGGAAGGATGGAGGAGAGAAGGAGGCGCAGAGGAAAACCTCAACAGCAGCTACGTCCCCCTTTGAGCAAGTGGGGGTGCCGCGGGGGGGCAGCTCAGGTTCGGACACGGACATCTACAGCTTCCATTCGGCTGCGGACCATGACGACCTGCTCGCCGACATCCAACTCGCCATCAGGCTGCAGCACCAGGGAAGGGGGGGCTGGGGGGGAGGAAATGGGGGGAGGAAACAGAGTAATGGAGGAGTTAAATTTACTCCCCGAGCCGGTTGACCTCACCCCCGAGTTAGAGTTGGGATCTGACGCCCTGTCCTTTCTGGAGACCAGACCCCCTCTCACTGACCCCCCCTCACACCCAGGACCCCCCCTCACTCAACCCCTCTCTGACACAGGAGCCCCTCTACCTCACCCCCCCTCACAAACAGGACCCCCGCCTGTCTCTGTGGACCCCCCCTTTCTCATGGAGGTGCAGGAGAGGAGTGGGGAGGAGTATCAGGGGGAAGGGGGGAGAGAAGCCCCTCTTTGTACTGTTACAAAGGACCAGCATGCTTTGCTACAGCAGTTCCCTCACACAGGGGTTGCCATGGATACAGCAGGGGGGGCAGCAGCCAGCATGGTCTCCATGACGACCAGCGGTAACAGCCTCCCTGACCTCCTGTTTGATGGTACTGAGAGACCCTCAGGGGAGGAGGGGGAGGCAGGACAAGAAACCATGCAGGAGGATCAGGGGCAACCGGATGTGGATCTGAGCGGGCCGGATGTGGATCTGAGCCCCCCCCCAAAAGGTCAGAGCGTTGGGTGGAGCTTTGAGTGTGGTGGAGGTGATGGGGGTGATGGGGCTGAGGTCTGTGAGGAAGGGGGGGATCTGCTTGACTCGGGTACCAGTGCAGAGTCTCTGGAGGACTACCTGAGTCCTTTATCTGACCCCGCCCCACTCTCTCAGAGTAGGAGAGGCTTCCTCCTCCCCCAGGGAAGCCCCCCCTTGGCCAAAAGCCTCCTCAGGTCCTCCCATGCTCCCTCTTCCTCCTCCTCTTGCCAGGGGTCAAACCTTACCCCCCCATCTTCCCCTCCTACATTAAGACCACCACCCGCCAGCTCAGCTCCCCTGGGGTGTCCCCTGCCCTCTCCCCCTCCCACAGCCCAATCTCTCCCCGCAGGATTCACCATCACCTGAGCAGGTACGTTAACATGATGATGCAGACTTAATTACGTTATTGCGTTCATAAAGGTTCAGTTTGGACCAATCAGGTTTGAGAGATTTTCCTCATTTGTAGGAAAGAAACCTATCGGTCATCATCTTTTAATGAAACACCTGGGAGTGCGAGCAGGTAACTCTGAATCAGAGTGAAAACAGGAAGTGATGATGACTCTTAAAGACGCTCAGAGCCCCCCAGAGGATCAGATCGAAGATATCATCATCATAATAATCAATCAAAATTATCTATTATAATAATAAAAATCTGTAACAATAATAATAATAAAATATTAAAAGGCAGATCAAACATCATCAAACACTCTCAACATTTCTGTCACCTGTTATCAGCTGCAGTTAGCTTAGCAACATTAGCTCTTACCCCTCCAACATTACCCCTCAGTCTGTTTGTCTGATCAACCCTCACATTAGTCTAACCTCAGGTTTGTCTCTCCTCAGGTTGGTGAGTGGGGCTCAGACCACCAGCAGGAGGCGCTCTCGCAGCCTGGCCAGCTCTCTCAGTCGTTCAGCTGATTGGACGGAGGAGCTGGAGAGGAGGATGAGGAGCAGAGAGGAGGAAGGAGGAGGATCAAGAGAATACCTGCTGACCTTTAGAGGAGGAGGTGGAGGCAGTCAACCGCTGTGCTCCACCAGGAGGTCCTCCTGTGGACAGGTGTGCTCCTCCTTCCAGGACGTCTTTACAGGTGAGACAGCAGAACAGAATCTATTCAACTGATCCAATCCCAGTTGACAACATGACAGATAGATAGATAGAGAGATAGATAGATAGATAGATGGATAGATAGATAGATAGATAGATAGATAGATAGATAGATAGATAGATGGATAGATAGATAGATAGATAGATAGATAGATAGATAGATAGATAGATGGATGGATAGATGGATCGATGGATTATAAATAAAAGACATCCTAGAAATGTACAATAATTAAAGTTAAAGTGTATTAAATATGTATAGATATGAATGTGTAGTAAATATGAGTACATGTATTAATGGTGTGTTATTTTCCATTAAACAGTCTGATGGCAGTTAAGAGAAATGACTTTCTGTAGCGTTCAGTTCTGCACCTTGGGGTGAGCAGCCTGTGACTGAACCTGCTCTGTGGAATGACGTCCAGGGTGTGTAGTGGGTGTGCAGGGTTTCTCTGAATGATCTTGAGTTTTGAGAGCACTCTTGCCTCTGTGACCTGCTGAAGGGTTTCCATTTCAGTCCCAGTGATAGAGCTGTCCTTCCTAATCAGCTTGTTCGTTTTGTTTTTGTCTGCTGTGCAAGCTCCCTCTCCCCAGCACACCAAAGAACAAGGCACTAGCAACAACAGTCTGATAAAAGGTGCACAGAAGAGGCCTTCTGATGTTAAAAGACCTCAGCAGTCTCAAAAAATAAAGCCGGCTTTGCCCCTTCTTGTACAGCGCCTCCAAGTGGGCGGACCAGTCCAGTTCACTGTCCTGCTGTACTCCCAGGTATCTGTAGCTGGAGACGAGTTCCACTTCAGTACCTTGGATATTAACTAGTGATGGAATTGGCTTCTTCCGTGCAAAATCCACAACCATCTCCTTGTTCTTTGTGATGTTAAGCTGGAGATTGTTATGGTCACACCAGTCCACAAAATCCTTGGTCGTGCCCCTGTACTCCTCTTCATGACCTCTCTTTACACATCCCACAACTGCTGAGTGATCCGAGTACTTCTGGAGAAAGCAGCTGTCCGAGCTGTGTGGAAGTCGGACGTGTATAGAGCAAACAGGAATGGAGACAACCCGGTGCCTTGTGGGGCCCCTGTACTACAGAGGACTCTTCCAGAGACACAGTTTTGAAGACGCACATACTGACGATTTCTGACCCCAACTGCATCCTCCTCATTATTCACCAAGAATCCTTGGCTGTATTGTATTAAAGGCACTCGAAGAGTCGAAAAAATTATCCTTACATTTCCGTCAGAGGTTTCAAGATGTGCATGGGCTCTCTGTAGTATGTAGATGAGGGCATCATCCACATCAATGTTAGGTTGATCTGCAAACTAAAGAGGATCGATGTATGGAGTCACCATGGAGTAGAGCGCCATAGAGCGCACCCTGCTGGAGGGTTTGACTCTGTGTGGTTCTCATGTTAGGGCACACCCTGCTGGAGAGGTTGACTCTGTGTGGTTCTCATGTTAGAGCGCACCCTGCTGGAGGGTTTGACTCTGTGTGGTTCTCATGTTAGGGCACACCCTGCTGGAGAGGTTGACTCTGTGTGGTTCTCTTGTTAGGGCGCACCCTGCTGGAGGGGTTGACTCTGTGTGGCTCTCATGTTAGGCGCACCCTGCTGGAGAGGTTGACTCTGTGTGG